TTAACTATCGTGGCACGTGACCTGGAAAAGCTCATTTTTGAAGTCAGAGTGCAAAGTCCTTTAACGTGATACCAAAACTGTTCCACAGAGTTGTTTTGCCAAAAAAAAAAAAATTTAGGTATAAGACCACCTTAACTTTACACAGTTTGTGTAATTTTTCGTGACTTCTTTTATAACGTAGCACGCGTAGGAAAAATTCCCGGATTGCACCCTAGGAGTTCTACAGACGCCTTATTTTGGCGCGTGATGCCTGACTGTTGTACCAAACACTGAAAAGCCGTGGTTCCGAAATATAGTTTTGAAATAACAACTGTTTGAAAAAAAAAAAAAACACTTTTCATGTGCATTCTTGCCTAAACTACATTTTTATTCTTGCTCAATTCAAATATGATAATGACGAGTCTGTTTGGCAAAACTGCGTAAGACATTGTTCATAAAAAGATGGCATTGAACTCTCTAGCTAATTCATAGTGCCTAAGGCAACGCAGATCAGTCAAAAGAAACGGCAGACCCCAGCAAACGAACAGACAAAAACAAGCGCTCTTGAAATATTTATTAAAGTACGTTACAAAGGCCTTCGTCCACCTCTCCACGCTTCTTAGTTCGTGCTCTTTGAACTCTCCGTGTACTTTGAAGAATTCCATCACCGTGTTGGGACACAGCGCGTTTTGTTCTAGATTCTATCACGAAACGACGATTCGCCCTCTTTTGGGGTGGGCTCTTTCAGCTGCCCACGGTTATGTTGGTCTTCCTGAGTTTGGACGCTGTCGTGTCGTTGTCACATTACGCTTTCAGCTACGTACTATCGTCCTGTTCCATGTAATATTACGGAGGGGGGATGCCTTAAAGCTACCCTGCCAACTGAAGTTCTAGAAAGGCTCCTGAGAACATAACGACACGAAACATCAAAGAGGAGTCTTATTCTAGGGGTTGTCAGTAATGAAATAGGATGTCGAATTCTTTGTCAAGAGCAAGGCATAAAAATGCTTTTGTTTAAGAGGACTCTCTGCGGATCTCCACTTAGTTAGGCCAAAGTGCTCTAAAGTACTGCGCGGTATTAAAAGTGAATTGAACAGCAAAGTTTAAGAGTCAAACCAATCGTGAAAATCGATATCATGGTTTAGGCAGTTTGCAGACGCATGACTGAAATACGAAGTTCGGTGAACACTCCAGAATTAACCGAGATTGGATTTAGCTCGTGGTCGACGAGTGATGCGTATTCTCAAGGTCAAGTCAAAGTGGACATCGCCGGAGCCATATTTGCTGTCGTGCTGTTAAGCTGAGCAGCTAACTACATGTTTTTAGATGGAGCAAATTTCTTCTAGATGAGGTGCAAATAGTTTGCCTTTTGACAGCAAGAAATAAACGTCCAGTATGTCATACCACCAGCCATATGGCTTTCGTTTGCATAGCACAGATGAACCCACAAGGTGTGGCCGTGGATATTCATGGTGATTTATGTTTTGTTATGCACTAGATCGCAATTGATATGGAGTCTAGTCTAAACCCCCAAGGGGTACATTCTCAAAAATTCTTTCCAATGGAAAAACAACTATCTGTTGCGTGGGTTCGTCCTCTTTATATAGAAAGATTGTTAGCCCTGAGGGTATAAATAAATCTCTTGTTTTGCTTGCACCATATGTTTCTCATCTTTATCGTTTGCATTTAAACTAAAACCCTTCTTATTTGACGCATCAACGATGGCCGGCGCTAGAAAATATGTATAAATATTTTTGTTCGCTGAGAGCAAAACGCTGCACGTGCAATATCCTTCGTTTAGATCATAAACAGGAGACAGAAAAAGTCACTGAGGTGTTACGATTAAGAACTAATCCGCGGATAAGCTTATCATCAAGATCGATCTAGAAAAGAGAGAAGGCTCGTTTGCGCCGAGGGGGGTATTACCTCCATTAAAAAAAATTGCCATCCCACCCCTGACATTCAACTATACCCAGGTCCACTTCAAACGGATTCCTGCGCCATCACGCAATTGAGTCGTTATCATAGCTTACCATGTCTTTGACGTACTCCTTGAACAAATCATAACCACTATGCACTAACACCTGATCATTTAATAGATGGGGGGTTATAAGATATTCGTAGCCTAAACCACCGTACAGTTTAACCTCTGCTTAGTTCTAGTAGTGATTTGAAGAGCAGTATCAAACAGACCTAACGGGGTTGCAAAAAATTCTGAACCAGTACCTTGCGTTACCGTAAGATATTTTTCAAGTACAGTAGAATAACTTTATTTCTGCAACAATTTTCACCGTGTTACCGCTAGACCTCCGCAACATTGCCGATGTTGCGGAGGGCTAGCGACCGGGCAACTGTGGGTATAGGAACATGTTGGGCCCGCCCCTTCCTTGGTGGTTTTTAAACTCTTGGTGCTTTTGCTACTGCAAAATATGAGACAATATCGCAGTTTTCTCTTTCTCCAGGTTTCCGAAATCTCCAGGATTCTACTTCCCCAACTCTCCTCTCCTGCATTGCGTTAAGTCAGTTTCCGCCCACTTCACTCCCTGGTTTTCGTCTTCCGTCTCCTTCCTCATTAATCATCCATTTCCTATCCGTTTGGCTATCCGGTCTCGAACCCAAGAGATGAAGTGCCTTTCAACTTAAACAGTAAATTACTCGATATACAGTTTGCGTTTAGCCATGGATCAAAATGACCACTGAAATTAAAACTGTAATATCCTATTTACCGATACAGTTATCCTGTCCGCGTACGTTCAGCAATAATGGCAGCCGAATGTTATGCAAACTGGTCCTCTTGAAAAACGCTGATATCAGAATCTACGACAAACGTTCTTTTGGAGATGATTCCAAAGGTTTTTTTCTCGGCAGGACCTAATGGCTGTTTTACTAAGAGATAAGCTGTGTATCAGGGAATTTTTATCAAAAGCATTGTTTCTTCTGACACATTTTTTGTTCAGTTCCAAAGAAAACCATTCTTGTTCCTGCGCCTATTGAAAACACCCCTCTACAAGTTTCATAAGGTATTTTGAACTGAATCCTTAGTTCCATTGTCAAAGCTTGCCATTATACCAACGTTGTGTGTGCACCAACTAATCTACTCCCTTAGTTTCTCTTAGCAGACTAAGGGGGTCCTACCGAACAGTCCTGGAAAAGTCCCCCCTTCCCTCTCGACATTATCAATCATGTTCTGACTAGACAGATTCGCGCGCGTGCTTGTTTACGTGCGAGTAAGCATGTTGTTGTGAGCCTGGAATAAAATTCTGATGAATCAACGGCACGTCAAGTGATAGCTGTTCGAGAACAAGTTATTTCCTTCCCTTTTCTATCATACCTCTTATCATTACGAGTAAAGATTGTTGAGATTTCGCTGATATTTCTGCTGACAGATTTATATAATGTCGTGCGTTAAGCGTCAATGTTCCTCGGTCGGGGTCAAAAAGGCTCCCGGGCTGTGATGATCGATGATCGTTTTTGCCGTATATTTATAAGAGCTACTTTCTATTATTGTTGTACAAAACATTAAGTGTCTTAATTTTCGGTCTTATAACCTTGATTTTGTTTTGGTTGCATAGACCACTTATTAAGGCACACCAAGCATGTTTTTGAGTTATTTCGTTTATGCGTTGTTGCATTCCTTCGTTCATTTGATACTGCTCAGTCCCTCGCGTTATAAAAATAGGAAACGGCAAAAATTCCCTTAGCATTCCAAGGGTTCGTCTAACCTCGCCGTGTCTCATTTTGGGACATGTTAAGCGCCAAAACAAACACACCTACTTGAAAACTAACGGATTACAGCGCATTTTGTCGAGTTAAGTGTGATAATATCTTTGTGGAAAACGGATTTCATCCACAGCGCCTCATTTACACCTGGTCTACAACAAGTTGACTGACACAAAGCGGCTGATGTGAGCAGCATGTGGACCCGCTGTGCCTTCCTGGATGGGGTTACGACCTCAAGCAATAAAACCCTAGCTTTTAATAGAGCACATGCATTAACAACCTTTCGTTCATCAATCCACTCCAAAATCCGCACCTGATGTGTCCTAGTACTTCACTGATCCTCAATTGTAGCGTTCATCTCAGATAAGCGCATCACTTTTGCGCGTGCATGGTCGCGAAGACCGACTTCGAATGAAAAGATCGTTTTCCAGCCTGCAAAATTCTATACTCCGCTATTGACAATGTGCCGTCAATTAACTAATTAATGGTCAAGGGATATGTTCCAGCCCTTGGCACGAATTTTAAGTTGCACGTATGCGGATTGGGCCATCTAGCACAAGAACATCACTAGAGAACACATCATCAAGCGACGCAAATCAGCAGTCAAATCTAGGCAGCCAAACTCGACCTTTTATCGGATATTAACTCCGTGTTATGGACAGTTCTGGATTTCTGTCTCCTAAGGCGAACGCTTTTTCTATTGCACACTTGATCGACAGAGCACAACTCGCGGACTTAGCATTTTTGCGCCAGAATCCGAACTACCACTGGAACTCGCAAATACTGCTTCGCGAAATGGAAGGTAAATTACTATGCGCGTGTAGAGTTGCGTTGCTCCCACATCACGCGCGCCATCAATCATTGCACCCGGAAAGCGTTCCTGTGGTTTTTCCTGAGGGTTCATTATCGTCTGTGCTTTTAACTTCTATTTCAGAGCGCCTCATGAACGTAGGAACAGGGAAGAGAGCGCCCATGAGAGGGGTAAATAACCAGCAGCTAATGCCGGAGGAGTCGGACGAAGAAAGCGACGCAGGTAACTCCCCTGCCTCGAGTCCTCCGCCAGTCCAATCTTCTTGCTCGCAAGCCGCCGCGTCAAGGTCATTATGCAACGGACTGATAAATGCACGAGTAGACTTGGAAATGAAGAGCTTGTGGGAGGAATTTCACTCACTGGGAACAGAGATGATTGTGACAAAAGCGGGAAGGTACTTTTTGAAACAAGTACTCCTTTAGTTAAAGCTGCTTTAGGGTTGGCCTTTTCGCTTCTTAGCTTAGCTCCACGTCGCTGTATCTTTGCCCTATCAAGGTTTAATCTACTAAATGTGGGCTTATTTAGTTATCATAAGATTTCTATTTTGTTTAATAATAGATACAGTGGTTTTTCATATCAGATTTCAAATTATGGTTTCCGTGATTTCGATGGAAGAATCGCATCCTCTCCCTACAACCGCAACCGAGAAATATCTTGTCTACAAACTTCAGGAGACATGCACAGGAAATCGAAAGCTCGAAGACAAAGTACCTGTGCTTAAAACGTCTTTCGATGTGAAAGAATAAATAGGGTGGCAATAAGTTTAGAGTCTCAATCTATATTTCTTGATTCTTGTTTATCTTTCATCGCAAATGAAGTTCTAGCGATGGTAGATGATTGTCCCATTGTCGCTCCATGGTGACAAACGACGGTAGACTGTATCCATGAAAGATTGATTATGATGAAAAGAGACCAGGGTGTAATTACGACATCTAAACACGAAACGGAACGAGCAATAAGTCGCTCGTTGACTGATGGCTCGGAGAAATTACACGAGAACAATAAAGCAATAAAAACACTGTTGAGGAAAGCGTAGGTGAAAATGAGAGATGAATTTAATCTGAAACATTAGCTGTGTGAGCTCTCCATTCTTCGTCTTAACTCTCAAACACGCGGAGAACAAAATGATCGCGCGCGGCAATTTTTATTTCCTCTCGCGTTTTAAGCTTTTCCATCGCTCAGTGACCCATGTCAAACTGAAACAAGAGAATTTTACACTTTTCTGAGTTTATAAGCTCTTGAAGTAGGAGTGCTTCTAAAAAAGACGATACCTCTGACCTTAAGTGATAAGATTATTTCGTATGATACAACTTTGGTTTAAGAGACTTCAGAGACCGTACCAAGCAAGACTTAAAAAGTAAGGGCCATAAACAGACCCAAACCAAATGTCTTTCTGTTAATTTAAATGGAGGGGTTTTAGCCACACGTTAACAAACATAAGGTACAATACGTTGATTGAAACCTAAAACAACCTCGTAATTAAGTTGAAAAAGAATCCTTTAGTTGCATTCTTATGCTTCCTCGGGGCAGAGTTTCAGTATCGTTTGAAGCGAATGACGTCAAATTAATTAACTTTAAAAGAGTTATCCTGCATAGCTAGCTTGAGAACTGAGACCATTTGCTATGTTCTTAGGTTTCGTCCCCTCACATGAGATCATCTTATGTGCATCAATGGAAATTAGTAATTGAACTTAAAAAGGTCGATTTTTTTGTTCACCTTCAAATCTTTTTTAAAAAATCATTTCCTTTTTGTTTGTTTCAATTGCTAATGTTTGTCATGATCTTGCAGTACTGTTTCTCGTTTTGAGACACAGACCTTGTGAAACTTTCCTTGTCTCTATCTCTTAATTTCTTTTTGCACATAAATTAGGCTTATTCAGAGTACTGTACGTACATGAACGAATGAATGGTTAATGCACCTATTCACGTATATATCTCTTTTTTCTTCTCAATGTTGCTTTGACTAAATTTTCTTTTAATTAGAGGAATTTCATTGAAGCTCGCAGTACTTGACACTACTTAACGTTTTGCTCGTCCTCCTTGCTGAGTCAGAACTAAATTGAAACCAGACTTATAACCATGTGGTTCCACCTTGTTAGCCTGTAGATCTGACGAAATCTTAATATTATAATGGGACTAACGTGGCATGAACACTCAAATGCATATAGTCTATCAGAAATATAATTTACTCCAACTCTTAAAAACGATTCTACTCTGACCTCGAGCTACACTATAGTGTAATCTGGATGAGCTGACTCTGAGTTCTTGGGCTGGTAAAAGTCTAATTTCTTCTAACGGTACAAGCAGACTGGAAGGGAGAATAAAGAAAATCATTCACTTGCTCACAGCAGTATTGTCCTGGTCATGTACCTCTTTCTCTGTTCACTTTTTTATCTTCCACATGAAAGACATACACTGAACCAGTAAACGTAAGGACATTCTGTGCTTTGAAGCAAGAGATCAGAGCTTTGTAAACATTGCATTGGCTGAAATTTAAGACCAGTCAGTACTATGTCGATGACTCAGCCTTAAAAACGTTGACGATTTACATTTTTTGTTGTGGTTTATGTTAGTCTCTTTGTTAGGTAGGATTTCTTCTAGTCGTTCATGTGTCCATTTTCTGTTAAACAATAGACAAGATTGATGATTATCAGAAGAGAACCACCATAAGAGATTTGCATCATCACTGTCTGTCTTTAAGCATGGTCTCTCTAAATTAAACCTCTTCGTAATGAATTAATTGTCTTATCTTGTCCTTCCAGGTAGCCATTTATTTTATTTTTAACGTTTTACAGTTTGTAATTGCATAGTTGTTAGCATACCCTTAGTTATTCAAGTCTTGTGAGGAAGCTTGAGAATCCTTCTGTTGCTGAACCACGTTTAATGAAGGTGGCTTCCTCAATAAAGATTTCCTGTCGTTGTTAATAAGCAACATACTTCATTTAATCAGTACATATTCCCTTTCAATCGAATTTAGCACCAAATTGCATTTCATAAAGTACCTTGATGAACATAGAACTCCACTTGAAGGTGCTGCTTAAAAGCCTTCAGCGGAATAGCTACCACCATGTAATGTTTTATCCTAAGACGTAAAAACTGGACGCACCTTATTCAGGAAACAATGCTTTTGACATGAAAGTGCTGCTAAGTAGCTTTCATTCACTAAATCAGTGTTCACACGGAGCAGCAAAAAAAAAGATCTGCATAGTTGGGCGCATAATAGTCATTCACTTTCATCCCCAACCTAAAATGTTGAATCACTTTGTTTAGCACCATGTCAAAGAATTGCTCAAAATATATTTCGAATGGTCACACACTTCACAGATTTTAAAGTTAGGACTACCTGATACTGCATAATAAACAGTACCAAATGAAAGTACTTCTCGAAAGCTGTCAACTGAATGGTCTCACACTTGGTCTATGGTTTCATCCAGAGACTGAAAAGTTAGAATCATCTTGCACAGTATATGCGACAGTACCTCATGAAAGGACTGCTAAATAGCTTTCATTTGAATGGTTACACACTAAGGTTTCTTCACATTTAAAAGTTAAGACCACCTTCTTCAGTATAATAAACAGTGTCACACAAAAGTACTGACCATTTGAATGGTCACACACAAGGGATTCATCTACAGACTTTAAAAGTTAGAACCATCCTCTATACCATGATAAATAGTACCACATGAAAGTATTGAACAAAGGTTGTCATTCGAGTCAGTCATCAGGATAATTGTCAATTTATCGGCTGGAATTTATGTAGATGAATATATCGAAATTCACTTCTTTGTCAGTAAAGTTGACTTTTTTCTGTAGTAAAAATCACGTCTTGTGAGGATATTAAAACTCACTAACTGCCTTCAAACCACTTTAATTCTCTATAGACGTATGTTTCCTACTTTCCAAGTACGCTTACAAGGATTGGACCCCTCGTCCAAGTACATCCTAATGATGGACTTTGTACCTGTGGACGACAAACGTTATCGCTATGCGTTTCACAGCTCCAAGTGGCTGGTAGCAGGAAAAGCAGACTCCAGTGTACCCGGGAGAGTACACATTCACCCTGACTCACCCTGTACTGGACAGCAATGGATGAAACAAATCGTGTCTTTTGACAAACTCAAACTGACCAACAACCTCATGGACGACAACGGACATGTGAGCCATTTCCTTTATGAAATACCGTAAATTGCCGCATATAAGGCCTCCCGGTTTCTTTAAACCAAAACAACTATCCGGTTAAAAGTCTCTACAGCTTTCCTTGTTTTGAATTCGTTTTATTATGATGTTTTAAAGCTTAATTAAAAACCAGTAAATGAAAGACCTATTTCGATCAACACAGCTATAGTTCGTTTCAAAACAGTTTCGTTGTTCCAGTTATAAGCGCCCTTGGATATAAGCCCCTCCGTTTATAAGCCCATCCTAAACTCCTTACGAGGATGTATAACCCCAGGGCGTATAAACGGCAGTTTACGGTATACTATTATGTGAAAAAATGCACGAATGAGATAAGACTTAAACAGCTATCAGGGATAGCAAAAAAAAAAAAATCCTTTTCCAATTTGATGAAGAAGTAAAAGCTGTGGTCACATGTTTAAAAAAAGGCGCGAATTTTGTGGTCTACGCCATCATATCCCTATCTTCTGATTGGCTAATATCCATGAACACGTGTTTTATAATAATGTTCTTCCTGTCTGGAAAGAACAATGGTGCTTGATAGCTATTACCTGAATAGCTTCACGTACGCGCTAAGTACTAGTTCATGTTGTTTATTTAATTCTTATGACTGAATTCCCGAGAAAAAATATACTCGGAAATGGTTAGAACATTAATTATGGTATTAATTAATTTTTGCTGTACTGTGAACCACGTTTCAAGAAATTGCATGCAGAACTACATTTTCCGACTTGTTATTCTAAACCTTGGTGGGCCGAAATCTTTTCTCGTCACTTAGAGTCTTTAGGTCTAAAATTTCAGGATGTGCTTTGTTTTTGTTTTTACGAATTAGGTGCGGAAATTCTTGTTACTTACCTAAAATCCAAACACTTAATTTGATTTTATAATCCCTTTCCAGCACCCTGGGCGGCACTGGTTTAGTTAGACGAGATCCCATGGCGGTTTAACCGAAAATTTACGTGATTTTGATCAACAAAAAGACAATGAATATCTTGACGAGTTGGTTCAACTTTGATTTTTCCCACCTTGAATTAAAAATAGTGATCGTTAAAACAAACCACTTGGCATTCCATTAACCTTTACATCAATAATCTTCTCGCAAAACCCAAATAACTTGTCCCTGTACGAAGATATACTATAAACATTTGAGTATCTCTCTTATGGAAACATCCTTTATTTTCGCGCCAGTTAAGGTCTTCGTTTGATCCAGCTTATACCAAAGAAGGCAATAATCGCGATTTTTTTCCTTAGCTGTTGTTATTATTGGCAGCAACTAAACAAAAACATTTTCGTTGACCACTGACTTCAACTTGGGGGACATAATCCCTGATTATTACACTTCGCTTACGTTTTAAGAGAAGACAGCTCCGGAAAATTTTTTAGGAAGCAATTTTGATTGACTGTCTGCACGGATTATAAGTTTGCCAAGAAAAAAGTGGATCTTTCGGCACTCAAATTATCGTAGATTTGGGTTCATAAAATGAGATGATGGCTAACCGCGAGATATAATGAACCGACGAGTTTGTTTTGTTTTCACTATCAGAAGGAGAAAAAAGACTGTCTATTGATTTAACAACCTTTGATTATTTCATTAGCTTTGGCTCGGAACACGTCACGTTGATACGCGGTGCTACTTCGCAACGTCAGCAAACACGCAGGAAAGATGACATTTCTATGGCTATCGAGAAAAATGATCGCACAACCCTGTCATTCTAATCTCTCCACAGTGCGCATACCGAGAAAATACAAGTTGCTCGTGGAATATTCCATGGTATACCACGAGAAAGTATTGTACAACTAGTATTTACAAACTCTATAACTTTGCATGGAATCAGAGTCACTGCATAGTGCTTATCGAATTACAGAACCTTCCCGAGCGATCACTTCTCGCGCGGTAGCAACCCACATGTGAAAAGCTTTAAGTTTTCTTCAAACCTGAAATATAGAACCCTCTTAATTTGAGTATTACTTAAGCTCGGCAATATTAACTGGTCGCCTACTTGAAGCTCGCTAGTGTCCTTTCAAAGTTCAGAGTTATGCTTGTTTCCCACACTTGACACAAGTGACATGTTTTCACGCACTTGCATTAAGCTTGGATAAGGTGGCTACGCCCGCCGTACGAACTGCAGTCAAAACCGAGCTGTCCTAAACGACACGATAATCTTTTTTTTCGTCGGTAGCTAACAAACGTCATGTTGATTTGGCCTCTTCTAATACTTAAATTGCGAATTCTAGGTTTAATTTGACGAGGTAGAACGTATTTTGGTCATAATAACACAACTATTATCCTACCTGGCGACACTCGACGAACTACGAGCGAGTTGCCGAAATCGAGCGACCCAATTTTGGCGCCAAATTAAAATTTTGCAAATGTAAATGTTTCATATTTTTCACTTTTTACAATCTGATACGGTTTTCTGAATTCTAAATTACTTTTCGTGAATATTCAATGCCGTCTCCAGTGAGAAAAGTTGCCCGACTTTAACGTCTTTCTTCTTGCAACATGCATTGACGTCAAGACAGCACAAATTTTCCCACCTGCTGAATTCTTATTGGTCAATTCAAATTTCAGGCGCACCAGTCGTATGTAAAGTACACCAGTTTAAAATATTTTCCCGCGCTTGGCACAGGCTATGTGTCTTTAATTCGAGTTCTGATTGGTCCACGAAACGTTTTCACAGTAACGATTGGTTCTTGTTTGTCTGACAGATTATCCTCAACTCGATGCACAAGTACCAGCCTCGATTCCACGTGATTCTCGACGAATCAGAGAAAGGAAGCTCTAGAGCAAATCTCCATGAAATGAACAAGGATCACCTGCGCACCTTCATCTTTGCTGAAACGCAGTTCATGGCCGTCACAGCTTATCAGAACCACATGGTATGTGTTGCACAATGAATGTGTTTTGTTTGGTCAGCATACGAACTCTCATTCCTCGTATTCTTGCATTTTTCTATTTCACTTTACGAGAATTTTATTCCACATCAAGACAGTTTGCTTGGTAATGCTCATGACCATTATGCACCTTTTGTATATTGATATTGTCTTGGAGAAATTTGAAGTTCATCATTGGAGGTCTTACAACTTGACCCTTTAAACAAATTTTCATTATTGGCCTTCCTTTTTCGCACGAATCTCTAGTTGAGAGAACTACTATCGTAGATTATAGCTTGGATTCAAAGATCTCGGTTTTTCAGCAATTACATCTTTCAATTCTGCTCGTGAAAAAAACTGAACTCGTTTTTACTCATATTCAAAGATGGCGGATTTTAACTATCATGTAGTTACCTCATGTATGCTATAATGAACTATCCTCGTCCCATCTACATTGTAGTCATGTTCTTTGTCGATATTGTTACCATCACAGCATTTAGACAATACATCTCTAGATCAAAGCAACAAACAAAACTCTCTTCGAAATTAAACTTGGCTTGGACTCCCGGCTGAACATTTAATTAACTGCAATCCGGGTCAATTCTCTTGGGGTACGAATAGAAATGAAGGTCGGCAAAATTGTACCTTTCCGCTTCTCTTCCCTTTGGTGTACTGGGGGCGAGTTGACGGGTCGTTTTTATCACAATCAGCATTTCGTGGTGGAGGAAGAATACTGAAAGAATCTGTGTAACAACATTTTCAAGCCCTCTTTGAGTACAAAGCTATGACTTTATAGCTGGTTTTCACATGACGTCACCAAAATTCGAACTACAAAACTATTGATCTTCCTGAGATTATACTTAAATGATGTATAAGAGCAGCTGAAAACTAATATTCATATAAATTTTCGCTCCGAATGGGTTCTTGGTTTTGTGATACACTACGCTTGAATTTCTAAGCTTTTACGTGACGCGGCATTTACATGACGGCCTAGAGAG